AAGGTGTTTTGGTAGATACCAGGCGATGAAGTATTCCGGTCTCCAGAAATACATAATCTACTGTCGCATCGAACGGAGTTGCTTTCACGCTGAACACCCGTTTGACAAACCTACTCACGGGGACGGAAGACTGGGCCAGTGCCTGAGACAGTCAACTCCATATGGAGTCCTCGCCGATCTACTTTGACAAGGACCCTGACGAAGTGCTGCGCAGGGGACAGGTGGAGGTAGTTCGCAAATTTAGCATTGACAGTGGGTTCCAGAGGTGTATCAGGGAATATTTGAACAGGAGGAACCGACGAAAAATAGTTAGTAGAACATTCCACATGCTGATAGCCGTTAGTAATGACGTTCTTCAGCGCGTCAATCTTGGGTTGCTACTCTCCTTCCATCCGATCAATAAAATATCATCATTGGAAGCAGCTGTCAATGTGAAACCATTGAGCGCCATGTAAAATGATGCTGTTTGCACGCAGGCTGACCTCTCTGGACCTCCTGAATGGCCTAACCAATGCATTTCGGCTAGCTATTCCTGAAGAAGTACGGAAACGTGTTGTGACTATTTTAGTAGACACTAAATGAATACCTTGTTAGCATCTCCCAGTTACGGAACAAAAGGGCCCAGTGGTTAACACGAGTAGAGATGTGAAGACAATTGCGAATCATGACGATTCTTCAGCCAAAGCGTTTCGTGTGTTCTGATCACTTTGCAGAGAACCAAAATGCCATTATAAAGATGTCTGAAATTTCGAGCCAATTTCCAATAGTTTCATTTGAGGCACTGCATACAGGCAGCTGGCCTCTGCTTCAAGAAGATGGCTGATACTCAAGAACAACTTCGGAAGGACTGAATAAACCATTATATAGCCTTTTCAACCTTCTGTGTGGACGGTGGTCAGAAGGCCCACCTTATCGAAGAGGAACAGGTGGTTAAGTTATGTCAGTTCGTGTCATCAGTAATAACCCGGGCATTTGTTTATCTAATTCCTTTAATCCCCCAGGGACTCATCTCCCTAGTTGTCATCGGGGGGCGTACTCCACCCATTTTTGCCAGTCATTCGTCTGGGATTCCCTAAGTTTTGGCCAACCCAATGCTATTTGCATGAATATTTGAAGGAATTTTATTTCTCTGGCTTTCCTTAACCTTTTACAAATTCGCATATGGAAAGAAGAAAAAGATCATTTTTACTGGAACATGAAGGTTTTTAAGTACCACCTACGTATGCTGAGAGGGAATTCAAGGGAGAAATGATGCTTGGAAATACAGTCAATTCACATAAAGTCCATTACCTGACAACCAGTATTTTGAAATGAGACCCATCCGTCTGTAATGTTTGCGTGGGGTGAACTTTTGCAGAATAATTTGATTTATGCCTGTTGAGATCATTGAAATGATGAGGACGACTGCTTTGGATGTGCAGTAAAGTGTTACAGAGATCATATACTGATTTGCCAATAGTGGTGATGTTTGGTAGTTAATCAGTTCTTTGGGGCTGATCGCTATTTTTGAGTACCTGATGTGAATAACTGGTACGCGGAAAATAATCGGCACTTTCTGTGACAATATCACATCACCGTTATTTTGAGTCGTCAGAAAGAAACGTCGAATATCAGGGAAAGAAGAAATCCGTCTACCTTACCCTCATGTTGTTTATTTTGAAGATGAACAATTTTTGTTATCCATACTGGTGCCAGTAATCATCGGGACTGAACGAGATCGTGTGTGGCAGCAAATTGCTTTTAAAAAGGTTTCCCTCGTCGTGACAGCTATTGGGTTCTGGCTGGAAGCATCATGCTTCACGTATAGCTGGCAAATATCGGAGTATTTAGCAGGGTGAAAAGTATCAAAAACATCGTCCATGCTGACTGTTCTGTGGCTACTAAAATTCAACGGCTAATATATTAGTTAAAACTGAGCGCTGTGGTAGATTATAATTCAATTTTAGTCTGCTTACTGGAAACGTCACACACTGAAACGGTAGCACTTACTGGATAACGTTTCGGACACAATCTTTTGTCCATATTCATGTCATGCAACCCCACAGCCTCGGGACAGGGTTTATGTAGCCATATTCTTCTCTCCTCCTTCACGATAATGATGTTATAATTTCCCATACATCTAGGACAGGTGCTGAGTCACTCCCGGTACACATATTCGCTGTTGAATCGACAAGCAAGGAATCTGTCATCACTCCCTCACTCCCCACAACCGAGCATGTTTTTAATACTGCCACTCTATTGCACCCCATCGCTCGATTGTTTGTAACTGCGCGTATGACTAAAGCCGAATCCTTCCTCAAATTTCTCAACTTTTCTGGGTCTACTAGCCAAATCTTTGTGTCCCGCTGACCAGTAACATTGACCTATGTGTTTAATCCCACAACCTTGGGGAAGGGCTCGGCTATAGCCGTACGCTCAATTACACACAATCAAGTAATGAGGTGCAATAGAGTGGCAGTATTAAAAACATGCTCGGTTGTGGGGAGTGAGGGAGTGATGACAGATTCCTTGCTTGTCGATTCAACAGCGAATATGTGTACCGGGAGTGACTCAGCACCTGTCCTAGATGTATGGGAAATTATAACATCATTATCGTGAAGGAGGAGAGAAGAATATGGCTACATAAACCCTGTCCCGAGGCTGTGGGGTTGCATGACATGAATATGGACAAAAGATTGTGTCCAAAACGTTATCCAGCAAATGATACCATTTCAATGTGTGATGTCCTCGATAAACGGGTTAAAATTGAACAATTGTGGGGGGACGGGATGTGCCATTATTGCATAATGCCTGGCTAACCGTACTCAACTCGATGTGCCCCAGCGCATACCTAATCAGTATCCCACTTAACATGCGTGCTGATAACGAAACACAAATCAAAAGGACTGGTATTCAGGAATAAGCCCGGAAGAACAATATATTTAGATAGAATAAGTACAATGGTGCTTACTAAGGGGAAAGTTTATCTACCTTGTCCGGCTAACATGGCTCAGCTATAGGCCCTGAGAGTGTGCATATTAGCGAGCACAGAGAGAGCGCAAAATGGTGTCAAAGCCCACCCGGACGCATGCTGGTTAAAACAAAACTTAAAATATCATGAGCATCCGGAGGTGAGCCAAAGAGTTATTTAGTTAATTTTTAGTTAATCCAGTTTGGTCCATTTATTTTGGCTGCAGTTGCATTTTGGTGCCAGGGCGGTGCAGTTTATATTCAACGACGACCATGCGGTGAAATTGTCCCAAACATTTATGTTTCCGTAATGCTTTGATGTCTATGTCAGAAGTGTGCCCTCAGCCCCATACTTTGATGTTACTGAGTGCACGCCTGAAGAATGTTCTGGAGATATGCATACGGCTCAGGCAGTCTCCCAAGAACGAAACCATCCTTCTTACAACATTTGCTTCTTCATAACAGTCTGACTTTTTTGAAACATGCACATTTCTTCTGATGTTGCCATTGAAAACCCTTCAATTCACAATGGAATGAATAATGAGTCACGTGATATAATCAGTGACCGATTAGAACGGTGAGGTGTATCCCTTTAACTACAAAGACCGGCACATGACACATCAGAAGATTCTGGATGGATTAAAATAAACTGTTTTACTGTTATGTAGATGAACCTGCTCGCTTTCCAAAGGTGTACGGAGTCAAGTTCAGTTAGTTGATCTGCGGTTACTGTTTTGCTAGTGACATCAGCGTGATGGTCAATTCAAAGCAGCAATCTCCACATCACTTTTATGATATCAAAATCAATACCGTTGACCAGGGCTTTGAGTTGACTTGACGCTAAAATTCATTCGCACTTATTGGTCCTGCTCCTGGCAGCGTATAAAAGGAAGACAAGGTAAAAGGACACGAATTGGCACTATAATTGTGCTGAAAGATTTGGTATTATGATGTGTTGGGATTAAGCTGTCGAAGGCTTATGAATTCATCTACACAGGCATCTACTAATTGAAGTGTCTGACGTTCCGTCGGATGATTCGTCAGCATCACCGTACGCAGAGGAACAGGAAGTAATAGGGTCAATATCATCTAGTCCTTGAGAGTAAAACCGAATAGTTATACAGTTGCAGCGAAAATGTTCCTTGTGCTATGGTCGGTACACATGGCTTATCAGTGCATTTGATGAGGAGACCTTCTGGACATTTTGTCCCGCTTATGCGAGACTAAAGCTCAAAAACTGCAAACAAGGGGCTAAACGTTACTGTATGTGCAAGCAGCAGACACTCTAGAACGCATACACTAGTTAGGCACAAAAATTAGGACAGAAAATTTTCAACCCTGACTTGTTAACTGATGTGAGGGAGTTCGAATCTTTTCCAAATGTTATGCCCTAGGAAAGACAGTGATCTTCCATCAGCTAACACGATCCCATATGACAGTTTGCAAGTTGATCACCTTCATTCTAGGGGTTATTACCCTGTAATTCAGGATTCATTGACGGGTAAACCGTGCTGGAAATCAAGATTCTGTCACACAGGAGCTAACGAACTAAATCTCATCATCGGAACACTTGGTAGCTGCACCTTCGTACGTACTTTTAGAGAGACCGAATCTTGATAAGAATACATACGACCAAGAATACTGCAACCCACTTGACCTGCTACCATAGAAACTGCAGGTAGAAGGATGAACCCCGAGTACTGAGTGGATCAGTCTTTACGTTACAGAAGTAGCGAACTGGAACGTCCTCATGGTAACAAACTGACACCTCCGAACTAGGAAAGACTAGAGACGGTTCACCAAAACCAGTTCATGAAAAGATTCATGATGTTATCTGTAAATATTAAAAGAGGGAAGAGCTGGGGTTACTTCAGAAATGCTTGCAACGTATGCAATGAATCCTGTAATAAGGTTGTAAAACACATTAGGAAGAACTTTGACATTTCATTTCATTAGGGAACTTATTGAGCCATAAGGCTCACTTTTCGATAGGTTGTACAATAAATATGGTAAGTACGGAATATTATGATCTAACTTTCAAACGCTATTCTGAAGTGTTTGTATACTTCAGATTGGCAATTATGACCTTGACAATATTTTAATTCACTGGCAGAAATGGAGTTTTTTCAGTTGTTATCGTTAGCTACATAGAGTGCTGTTATGGTTTCGTTCCCGTCAATTGATCACTACGAATTCAAAGAGATTCTGGGAACGTACGAGTTATTTAAGAGATTAAGCTTTCATTTTCTTGTTTAGGGGTGCTTTTTCAGAAGTTCGTCTTGCAGAAGATCAGAGAAACCCTGGATCATTCGTTGCAATCAAGTGTATCCGCAAAAAATTCCTTTCAAAGTCTCAAAATTCTGCGTGTGCCATTAAGGAAGCAGAGTCGCGCAAGGAGTCCTTGAACAATGAGATTGAAGTTTTGAGGAGGTTCGTTGAATCTTCTAATATGACTCTATAAAATCAGACTCAAACATCCAAATATTGTTCAGCTGTTTGATGTCCTGGAAGATGCAGAATGCTACTATCTTGTCATGGAATTGTAAGTTTTCGATTTTGGTTTGTGTAACGAATGATGTCATTATTGATATGATTCGGACTGTCAAAAGTAATCTGAGAGTTATTCACAGCAAGTAGTTTTATCAACTAGCTTGCTGATCAAGATAAAATTAGCTTTTCCATCTTCGACCGAACGGTAGATAGTTAAGTAGCACACGTGTGAAGCATACCAAACTTGTGCATTTCTCTAGAAATCTCTCTATAGGCAGCCGTACGTATACGTTTTTCATCCAGTCACCGTTTTATTACAGCTGAGGAAACCAAGAGTTACTTAGATCACCGATTTGGTGAATAATGATATGCAATGTGTGGTAGATTATATTACTGTCGTTATCCATTTCAAGAGGACTTTAGTACATTATATATGTATCTGAAAATTTTACTTGAGCAGCAGCAGAAGTACACCACTTTTCCGAAAGGAGAGTAAAAAGACTTGAATCTTCCACATTGTCTCATGCTGTCTGGAACAACAGTGGAGTAGAATTTTAATGGGGAAATAATAGACTGTTAGTGATGTGATGATGTGACACAGAGATGTGGGTCTTTAGCCTAGTTATATGATTTCAAACCGACGGGTCGCTGCTCGAACCTCAGCTGCCTTTACCGAGCTCTAAGTAGCCAGGGAGTATCATTTGCACTAGCAAAATAGGCATGGCTCATTCCTTACTACATGAATGTATACATGGCTGCTGAGTGGATCTCGATTTGATGTGATATACTTTAGTGGAAATCCCATGGACAGGCAGCCAAATAGTTTCATCCTGGGATTTTGTATTACTACATGGCAACTCAAGTTGCCGCAGTTCATTTCAGCTCATCAAGCTAGAATGTGTAGAGCTCTGAAATCTGACTCCAAATTTATATATGCGTCCAGATAAACTATCGGCTGTTTATTATTCCCGACACTGCTGATCCACCTGCGTCAGACAGTGTAAATATCAGGAGTTAACGTGAGGTACATATCAAGATATTGTACTAGTCAACGAGCAGGCAAGAGTTTTTAAATCAGCACAACTAAACAAAGTGTTCAATTATAAGTTGCTAAATATATCAACACAATACTGTGAAATAAAATGCTATATAAGTCCCTCTCCAGAATACAGATATAAGAAGGAATATCTGTGTTCAATATAAAATATCTGATAAAGACAAATTCATTTTGAAGATATTTGAAACATAGAAGGAATGTTGAGGATATCTATTATCAGGATGAAGACTGATTGGAAGAGTACTTACATAAAAATGAAATGTATGACAGTCGAAACACTGAAATAAATTTACCGAAATAATAATATATCCGGAGATAAAAAAAACAACCAAAATCGTAATACTCGGAACATTTTTAAGAAATATAAGATTCGGAAGTCTGTGGTGTCGAGCGAAAATGTTTTTTTTGTGCATGCGGAAAAGTCTGACAAAATAGTGTGATCATGTTTTCAACAAGATAATGAAAAAAAGCGGTAATAATTTTACTAGAGAATTGGTTTTATTAAAAGTAAATTTCCTGAAAGTAACGTTTTGGCCAACCGAATCTTCTTCCGGACCTCGTGGTTCTTCTGCTGTCCCTAGTTGTGAACGATTCCGATGCTTTTGTTTTTGTTATGACGGTTGGTTTTTGGTGTTTTCGGTTGTTTCACTATCGCCAGTAGCTCTCTGCCGAATGTACTGTATCGCTACTAAAAAGCATCAAGTCGTTTTGAGAAGAAAGGTATTGGTTCCCACTGGCCATGGACAAAATGCGCCTACCGCAACACTTGAAGCGCCTGGCATGACTGCTAGTGATGCTTTTGAATCACGACGAGAGGGAAGAGTTTCGGAACTTAGAGCCAGCTTCAGTTTGCCAAGGGCATCATGAGCCGCTTGGGCCATGTGAAACATTTTAGCTCGTCCTTGTAACAAATCTGTCAGCGGCTGGGCTACTTCAGCACATTCAGGTATGAAACGTCTATAGGAGTTTATTAACCATAGAAATCTTTGCAGCTTTCGAAACGAGTCTGGTACAGGATATTCTCGAATTGCATCTACTTCTTGCAGAACCTGTTTAAAACCGTTGGTATTAACAATGTGACCCAAAAACTGTAGGGATTTTTTGCCAAATTCTCACTTCTGCTGATTGATTGTAATGCCATGTTCCTGCAGTCGTTCGAAAAGCGTCCTCAGATGTTGCAGGTGTTCTGTTTCAGATGGGGTGGCTACTATTAAGTCATCTGTGTATGCACTGACGAAAGGTAATCCATGAAGTACCTGATCTATAAATCTTTGGAATGTTTGAGCAGCATTTGTCAAACCGAATGGCATACGAATAAATTCGAATAATCTGAACGGGATAGTGGTGGTCGTCTCAGTAACATCATTGGGTTTCACAGGAATGTGGTAGTAAGCTGGCACGAGGTCAGTCTTGGAAAAACTATTTACTTTTGTCATAGAGTTGGTAAGATCATGTATGTCAGCGATTGGATACTTATCAGGGGCCGTACGCTTATTTTACTCTGGATAATCACCGCAAGGTAGTATTTCACCTGATGTTTTTTGGTACCATATGCAGGCGTGATGACCATGAGTTCTCGGAAGGGCGTATAACTCCCAACTTTAGAAGTTTATCGAATTCCTGTTTTGCTATCTACAGCTTTTTAGGGTCTAACCATCCAGGTTCTGATGAGACTGGGGGACCTTTTGTAAGAATATGGTACGTCACCGTGTGTTTTGGCAGGGAGTTTATGTAGTCCGTTTACGTGAGATAAAAAAATTCTCGCACAGGGATGTGGTACTCGGAAGTGCTATTTATTACAGCTACGACTAGGTTTATTATTTTTGTCTCCGTGACGATACCCGTGATAGGAAATTCACTATTACGGCTAACTAGTCTTTGGCGACTAGAATCAACCAATAGTTTGTAATGTTGTAGGAAATCCATGCCAATGATAGGCGACGATGTGTCAGCGATGACAAAATCCCACCGGAATGGTGTATGAAAACCAATGTCTACGATCGAAATTTTGATTCCATATGTGGTAGTAGCAGATCTATTTGCCGCTTGTAGTACCAAGGTAGGGTTGGGATGTTGTTTTTCGGAAGGTGTGGGTGAGACCACGCTCACTTCTGCTCCAGTATCAACCAGAAACTGCGCTCCGGTCTTCCTATTCGTCACCCGAAACAAATGACCGTATTGTTGTGCGCCGATGACAGAAGTCGTCACTGATCGCCGTCTTTTCCGTTTCCAACGAAAAGGTTATAAAATCGCACGGTAATAAACAACGACGTGCTTTATTGGCAAACTCTTTGTGATACCAGCACGTGCTACTTTTAGACGCAGTTCTACTCACGATTTTATCACTACTGTGGGATCTGCTTCTATGGAACTTCGGTGACCGGCGGTGTACCTACAAAGCCGTCAGTTGTCCTCTAAGTATGTCGATCTTCCTCTGTAAAGAAGCCACTCTGTCATTTTGTGTTGGCTCAGCAATACTTTCAACCTGTTTAGGCATTCTTTAGTACGTACGGTCAGCGATGTCAGGAAACCTGTCAATGTCAGTGTCCGCATCTCCGACAGCTAATATCTGCTGAATACATGAAGGAAGTCTCCGCAGCCAAAGCTGGTACAGTAGATGGTTATCTACGTCCCTACCTTTCAGCAGACTTCGCATATGTTGCCTAAGTTGTGAAGGTGTTCTGTTACCAATGCATATGTTACTTAGTAGTTGATCGACAGCTTTCTGGTAAGGTTAAGAAGTGGCTTTCATCACTTCTTCCTTCAAAACATCACAAGATGTGTCTGGGTGGGGCTTTATTAGTGTTTCCCTTACTTGTTCAGCCACTTCTGCTGGTAAAACAGAACTTGTGTATCCAAACTTTGTGTTTTGTGAAGTTATATGATTGGCAATGAAGAAATGTTCTAGACGGACAAACCACAATTGCGGGTCGTTAAACTTAAAACAAGGCATAGGAAGATTAATGGCACCCACGGACCCTAAATTCGAAAAGTCTTGATTATGAGAGTTTAAGGACATCAGTACTGGTACAGCAAAAAAAATATTTAAGAAGAAGAGCAGGAAAAATACGATAAACAAGTATGTCAATGCCTACCACAAAGCAGCCAAAGAAATTCTCAGTATATATGTATATCCGTATTGTATGCAGTCATTAATGACCGGTTGCAGTATTCAATTGCGAGATTTTAATCACGTCGGGCTGACCAGTTTGTCGAGCTGAGAAATCTGACTCCAAATTTATATATGCGTCCAGATACACTATCGGCTGTTTATTATTCCCGACACTGCTGATCCACCTGCGTCAGACAGTGTAAATATCAGGAGTTAACGTGAGGTACATATCAAGATATTGTATTAGTCAACGAGCAGGCAAGAGTTTTTAAATCAGCACAACTAAACAAAGTGTTCAATTATAAGTTGCTAAATATATCAACACAATACTGTGAAATAAAATGCTATAAATGCAATAGGATGGAATATTGGAAAATAAAGAGCAAAGCAGTCGAAACCGGTATAAAGTCATCAAAAGAAATCAAGGAGAAATAAAAAAAATACTGAAATTATCTATGATTGCTAAGGTGGGATTAGTTTATGGATGCACTGCGCCATTAAGTTCCATTTTGAGCCATATCACTGGTTTTAGTTAACATGCGGTCCTCAACCGGGAAGTCGAAATTCCCCCACATGGCTTAGACCAACAATCTTGACTTCGTGGATTAATTCTATGTTTTATTCTGCCAACCCCTAAGAAATTCTCTGCATGAACCTACTTCAGCTACCATTGCTCAGTGAAGTAGACAGCGAATAGGCATATGTGACATATGTCCTAGCCACCTGATTAGATGACGCTTCGCAACCTTGTCAACTTTCTTTTTTTCTACCTAAAACTCTACACTTAGCTTCTACTTTGCCGATGTGTTTCACGCTTCTTCGATATGTGAAAGTTTGTACTTAAATGATAGTGCTATATTAAACCTTCTGTTAATGCATCCTGATTTTGAGTGTGACTCCGGCTGTAAACATAAAGCATGCATTTCTGTCACTAATAAAGGTACAAAGTGCTATTGTAAGATTCCTTCCGATTTCATTGGGGAGCAGAGGAAAGAAGAGGAAGTTTAATGGTTTTATTTAAATGGAGTATCAAAGGCAACTTGAGTATTTCACTGACATCCGTCCAGCAAATTTAAGCGCAATAACTTTCTACTTGAACTGTGCTTCTATCTTGATTCCTACTACGTTATAAACTAGGCTTAAAAGTGATAATATCTCTCCCACTTGGCTTTTGAAGGATCTGAGTGATAGATTTCATTAGTTTGGTGCTATAAGTTTTATATCTAAATGTTTGTAGACCTTAGGTTCAGGCTCAGATTTGCTACTTTAAGACAGAAAGTTATGAACCTATATTAATCCTTCCCCAGTAGATCTCTGTGCTTGTCCAATCCTCTTTCCAACAAGTCAGTTGATGATGCGGACACCACTTCTTCTGGGAGTCAGTTCTAGGAGTTGATTACTCGATGCGAGAACCAGTACTCTGAGGAGACTACGTTCTTTCTTTGCTTTTGTGTCCTCCTACTATGTCCTTTTAGATGTCTCGACCTAGTGGGAAGGAAAATAGGAGATAGATTATGTCCGAAGTCATTTCTTAGAATAATGTATAGCATGATTAAATCGCCCCTCTGTTTGCGATGGGATAAAGAGATGTCCAGCTCCTGAAATCGGTCTTCGCATGTCAGGCCATTTATTGCATGGATTATACTGCTGACAGAGCTCTAAAGTCTATCCAAAAGGCCTGAGTCACCTCTCCGATAAGGATTTGCCGTCTGCGTACAATTTTCCAGTTTAGATCTAACTAAGAATGTGTATAACATGGTGAACATAACACCATTTATTTTTTAAGTGTTCTGGGTGATGCTCAAACTTTCCTAAAACTCCGAGGTGCAACCAACTGAAAGTGTACCATGGTTTTAAAATCATAACTCACCGTGACCAACTGAACTACGACGTAGAGCAACGGGCCGGAAACCCGGTGGTCATTGGTTCGAATCCGGTTGCAATTCAAATATTCATCTCACCTTCAACTATCACCCAGCATAAATACTAGTCTGCAAAACTACGTTTATCTCAGATAGTCAAATGATAAAAGATAAATAAATGTCAATCAAATCCATTTCTAGCAAAGAACTTTCAGACTTATAAGATCCTTGTGTAATATTTTAGTAAATCATATTTACTCAGTAGTATTTTGTCCTGGATTCATAAAGTTGTGGTTACTGATAGGTAAATCACTTAGAAAAAGTTGAAACTTGTAATGAATATATTTTGAGGTAGTATCAAAAGCAACTGTTTCAACCCGCAATAAGCCTAAAAAGTTTAAGATTTCCTCCTGAGATTAGAAACGGATGAAAACATGTAAAACAAAAATGACTGCAATCTAAAACATTGGTATATTTTATTTCTGTGTATATAGTTGTTGAAAATTCTTTGGTTAGAATTGTATAGAACTGTAGTAAAAGATTACTTTCCCAAGAAGTTAATTTTTGTTATCTTAGACTATATTCTTTATTACACAGAGTTGTTTTTCCCAGTAGTCACAACTTTCAAACGTTTATAGTGTTATTTCTGAAATGCTTTACCATGGATAAGGAATGTGTTAAAAAATTCCTAAAGATATTTATCAGTTTATTTTAAAAGATTCTAATAAATTCTTATTTTTTGTGCTATTAAAAGAGGTTTGTATGTTATTTGTATTCGTAGTACAAGCACTAGTTTCTAGATATTAGTTTTTATATTCTAACAGAAGTCTTATAAATGTGTAACTTTTGTTAAATGTATAAGCAAGAAAATAAGTGTTATAGAACCAACCAACTACACTAAACCCGATTATATTTTGACCAAAGTAATTTTAAGTTTGAACTGCGCAGAGATATTGCAGTCAAAATGATCTTTTTACATCTTCATTCTGTGAAACAGTGTTGCACAGAGACCCATTCATTCTAGTTGATCTATTAAATGTACAATATAGTAAAACAGTATCATCTACTGGATAACGTTTTGGATGTAATTTGTTGCTCACTATCATATCAAGAAGACATATTCACTGACGAGAATACTACTAGAATCTACTGTCTTATTTATTATCTGATGAGAAGGTAGTGCATTGGCTGTGGTAAAACACAAAAGGCTAACATTTAGGAGTTTGTCTTTCATAGTCGAGAAAACAGTATATATGCATCAGCAATTCAGAAAATCTGATCATTTTATAAGTGACGATCAGCAAAATCTTGATAATTAACAAGGTGCTCCACTTAGAAAACCCTCTGAATCTCTTCATAACTCTCACTTTGTTATTACCAAATTAGAAGTGTGTGTGTGTATACTGTGCAACAGTCTCTTGACTGACTAAACAAATCGTTTTTCAACACTTCTTTGTAATCCTTTTGAATTTATTTCAGTATGACAAGATAAACAGATTTTCTGTAGAATTTACAATTCCACAACACAACCATTGTGTTTAAGTTTCTTTCAAGAAGGACCATTTTTTTTTTGGTTGAAATATTTTTATTTATGTGAGTCATATAATACTCACAGTAGGGATTCTCATTGTGTTTCGTTTGTACGTAATATTGTTGGTGGAATATTTAGCATTCATTCACAGAAAGTTTAACTGGTATATACTGTCTGTCGCATACGTTGATCGTTGGTTTTTAAATCACATAGAGAATATGTATGTATAAGTTATGCTTCTGGATAATTCTAGCGGAAACTGCTGATAATTCTTTATTATGCCTCGTTTGGCTGATAAGCCACACATATATAAACCGTACCACAAAAGTTTCTGTAAACTATAAAAATGTGTTTTATTGAAAATGGAATGTATATCTGAAGTACATCTAAAGATACTGAATGGAAGACTCTGACGTTTAAAGTTTGAGCATTCAATGAGCGAATATAGCGGAGAATTCTCAATCCAATAAAACAACGGAGAACCACGAGCATATCAACTAGTAATAATAACTAACACCCATCACACAAGAAGTGGCTACCATGCCTCCGTGGCATAGTCGATAACGCCTTGATGTTTGAAGCGATGAATACGAGGTTCGAGTCTCAGTTGGGACAACATCCTCACTGGGATGCAGGTGCATCCAGTTAACCAGTTTCAAACAGGACGAAATGCGCGCCTTGGATTCCTCTGCTAGACACAACCAAACAAATTATCATAATAAATATCCAGACGATATCAAAGCATCCTCATAGGAGCCCAGATGCCAGTAGAGGTCGAACAATTTGACCCAATAAAACAACGGAGAACTATAAGTATATCAACAAGTAGGAAAATTCTCACTTGGAAGCTATTTTAGGTGTATCAGTAGACGAATAGTCTTAGTCGCGACTACTATCACACAATAATTGAGCAAGAACCTCAAAGAAATTATCATGTAAATTTTAAGCAATAGTTTTTCCTTTTGATAGCAGTATTCCTAAAGAAGTAATTAGTGTTTTAGTATGTAAAATACTACGTCTTTTACGTCAACTTATACAACAAACCCGTTTTTGGGTAAAGTGCTGCAGAAGTATACTAATATTTGTCTTAGACAAGGAATAAGATAATGACAGACTAAAACTAATCCGTTCTACTCTAAAATGCTAGAGGCAGAAAATGTGTAAATTCTAGATTTGTTTTAGAATATATGCTTTGTCTGATTGAGTTTAGTTGTTATTTAAACATACACTTCAAATAACTTGACAAAGTTTTCATTATTTATTAAATTCTTTTTGTCTAGATTGTGTAATAAAGGGAAAAGGAAATAAATAAATATCTACGGATAGTAAAACTGAACGTAGGATTGAATGTTATCCACACCCGATACATTGTCATGAATTCCAAAGCATAGACACAAAAATATTAGATAAAACTGTTCTTTTAATTTATGTTGCAAACAAAGAAAACAGTAAATAGACGATAAGGTAGGTTTAGAATGGAAACTTATGATAATAGATATGAAGGACAGTATTGAAAATTGTTTACGTCATAAAAGATCAAATATCATAATTTATAGTGGTGTATAAGTTTCTTTTAGCGTAATAGACGTTGCTGGTTTGTTGTTTATAACAGACCAACAAGTTTCAACCTGCAGTTAACCATATTGGCTGTCATCTGATGACAGACTATTGTGGATACTTTGGAGGCTAATTCGTTGTAAAGTTTTTGGCTTCCGGAGAAGGCTCGAATTTTTTAGAGAACATAGACTTTCTAGCTAGTGAAGATACGCTCTATTGATGATTGCCAACAAGTACAATGTCGACGTCTAGCATTTTGTGTTGATTGACTCTCAAGTATACTTTGTGTTATGCAATTTTTCCACTGTTAAAAAAGTCACTCTTTCAGTCAGTTGCTAGGTGATGAAGAGCGAAATGCTCTGGTAAACAGTAGTTTTACATGGCTGTCAATGAAGAAAATCATACTGCAGAGTTACAATATGAATTGAGGATTGTAGGATATCTGAATTGTTATAATATCTAACAGGTAAAAGTAATTAATACGTTTTCTTGATTGCAGTCTATAGCATCTAGAAATAAAAAAAGTTGCAATTACTTTCCAGTTTACGTTCCCGTATGTTTTATTCATAACAAAGTCGCTGAGTTGCGTTAACTGGCACTGTTATATATATGAGTAAATCATGAACCATAGTGGCTAATTTTTGGTTTATTAGTCATTCCTATTGCGTAATTCTTCAAACTTTTATAATTTTAGGGTTACTGGAGGTGAACTGTTTGATCGTATTGTTCAGAAAGGAAGTTACACTGAACGTGATGCAAGTGCCCTTATTCGACAAGTTCTATTAGCTACTGAATATATGCACAGTCAAGGAGTTGTACACCGAGATTTAAAAGTGAGTAAATGTTTCATGCAATATAAATTTTATTATTCTAAGAAGTGCTTATTCGTAGCGCCAAAATGATAGCAACTATTGTAGATCACTTCTAGTAGGTTTGCTTGCTAATTGAAGGTTATCAGGAACCTGCATTCACAAATTCATGGGATATATTGTTTTGTGTTTTTGATGAAAGTTTCGCCGTCAGAACGCATATAGTTGTGTAGTGACCCGTCTTGGTGGGAAAGATAGTTTCAAAAAAAAACTGAACTTAAATGTATTCGATTAGTGTCAAGCATCATGAGATTCTATGTAGAGTAATGCAGTGCCAAAGACATTGTGACAAAGTAGAATGGTCAATTCGCATACGATTTACAAATTGCACATTCTATGCTGAGTAGTTTTTCAGCTGCTCAACTGTGGTATCAACATGGTTTCCTCTGGAAACTACTCGGCTGGGATCACAAAGTGTGATCTCTGATACTAATATATCAAGAACTAACATGATATACTGCCAAACAATTAGTTAGAAAACACTCAGGATGAGAGTTGAAAAAATTTGATGATATTGTGTTTTCTGAGCTGGATAGTTTAATCGTGAAGCTTTCATTGTCATTCAGAAAGAAGTGAACTATGAGGTTTTAGTAGTTTAGTAGTTTATCCTGATGGTCTTGCATGTGATTGATTGTTACTTCCAAGGTCTTGTGATTGTCTCCTGAACTACAAATATTCTCCATCAGTTTAAAACTATTCAGCTGTGAGAAATCTCAACGTGGATAGTACAATTTGTAAATTATTTGCAAAGTGTTCGCTCCATTTTAGGTATAGTGGTTCATACAAGCCAGCTAGCCGGATTCAGGTGATGTGAAGTAATTCGGCTCGGTGGGCTGAATTTGTTCGGGTACACCGGTGATGAGCTTGGCACTAAGCGAAAAAAACGGCCATCCGGTGTTTACATCACTCTAATCTGGCTGGTGAAATCTAAAGACAAGCTTGGGTGGTTTCTAGCCATTCAATTTGTTCAATAATCTATACTACGACAAAGTATTCATCAAAATATTGATCATGTTATTTCTCACAATATAAATTTTGACAAGTCATGAAGTGACTTTGATCTTACTATTTATTTGTTTGTGTTCCATTAGTAAATGAAAGACGAAAGACTTATTTTTATTATTTTGCGTGTTATTGATACTCTTTTGTTTATCTTTCAAAAATATATTTATTAGATTGTACATGATTTTTAGATGGGCAACCAACTTAATCGACTTTATCAAGTATCATAAAGATTAACTTATGCCATTAGGTTTCTTCTCTATAAAGTTGAAACAGTGTGCGATTTACACGCAGAACGCATTTGATTTTAATTCATTTCCGTTACTATCTAGATTTCCTGCTATAGTCTAAAAACTTTGAATTCGTTTTGAAGGTTCAGCGATATATTTTATTGTCGGCAGCAAGCCATTTAATAAATGGAAAGTGAACCTCCAATAGTCAGACTTTTAGGACGATTTCGGTTAAGGATGATTGACTGTTATTTCACTTACAGTACTTCACCTACTTTCCTGCCACAAAAACTTATTGTCTCTTGGGTAAAACGTTTCTATGATTGGAAATCTAAACAACCTTTCGTTCAAAACAGAAAAGCCGATCAGGACTGTATGATCATAGTCAAACGCTGTTATTACTTAAATACTGAGTAGTTGGTTTACATGTTGTTATATGCTGTAAAAGATAGTTGTCAGCAATCAACGGAAAACCCTAAACCTAGATTCTAGAGCTTTCACTCGGTCATCAATGAGATGGATCTGCAACCTTGAAGAAAAAGTTTCTGGCTAGGAGGTTCGAACAGGTATGCAATAATGTCGTTACCAATGGGCCAATTAAACTCCAACTGGTCCTCTGTATTGATTGATCAGTTCAGTCACGGTAAAGTTACCAATTCAGTGTTATCTGGCGAATGATATCGATCAACGGTAATCACTAGCCGGGGAAATTTAGGACTGAGACTGCTTGCTGACTGCTTATAAACACTTTACATTAAGAAAATGCATAGGGATTTTAATTTACAGTCTAATTAACATATTACAATGTAATCGATACAGTTTAGTCAGCATTGAAGGCGAGAAAATACAACATTGATTATTTTTTTCAGTGACTAATCGGTGTAAATTGTTACACTAGTTTTTGCAAAGTTTCTTAGCGAATAAGTGTGACCGACTGAACTGAAGTTATCAATCAATTTTATGGGTTTTTTACCGAGTACAAAAGATTTTCAGTTTAATATATTGCCTATGATCGAGTTCTTTTTCAAAAAGTCAGTTCAATATGAACTTCCTTAGACATTGTAAGCAAAACTATATAGAATGTTGGCACTACTTAGGTTTGTTTGTTATGCTTACTTAGTTCTCAAAATTTTCTTTTGATGAAGAAAATTGTCTTAAGTTTGTTAATCAGTAAACGATGTATTTCCTTTTTGTATTAGAATGTTAAGATAAATTTCACTTAGTTAGCGAGAAATGGATTTGAGATAAAGTTTTCGTTTGTAACTTTAAATTAATAAAAAATATGCAATTGTTAAATTATGAGATCTATAAGTTTGGCAGTATACATGTTATAAAGATCCTGAATTTGCCTGAAAAGTTTACTTAAAATCTTTTGGGATCTAAATTTATTTTTTTCTAACCTTTCTTCCCCACATTTCTTCTCTTACTTATTGGTTAATAAACCAAGGCATTTTTCCACACAATTATTCGAGAGCTGTTTTAACCTCATCTGAAATAACAAAGACTCTCACTGAAGAAGTGACTTTTTAGAATTGGTCTTTGTGCGAACTTGGTTGATTCTGTGAAATTATGTTTCGCTACAGCTTCTTTAAATCTCTTCCGCATTCATTTGAAGTGTTGAGTTTGTAATGTTAGTTAAACACTGTGGAAAGTAACAATTTGTTATAGCGGTAATATGGACAATCGGAGTGTTTTTGTAAAATGAGTTGCCTGGAATATGACTACTTTTTATCAATAGAATGAAACAGAAAGATGTAAACTGAATTATTAACCTTGGGTGTAAAAGTTATACGCTGGATGTAGTACATATAATATACATTAGCTAGTAGATCTTCATTTGCTAAACCTCACTCAAAGCTGCGATGGCTATCTGTAATCTAGTTTAATTAATTATGAATTATTTACTTATTATCCAGCTGTAATTCAATTGTTAAAATGATCGTGTTAGTATTCCTCAACAATACTTTTTGGCTTCTTCAAGCTGTCCAAAACCAAATAGAGTGTATGTGTTTGACGTGAAGACACTTAGTTGGGTGGGCTTACCTCTCAACCAGGGTGACGACTTTCCGTTTTTGTAAAGGGTGAGATCATTATAGCTGCTGAACTTTGTGTCATTGCTCTGTGCGCTTCACTTCTAATCGAATAGTGTTGCATCCCAACCCTACTGCACCTACCAGAATGTAGACAGTTCGGTAGGAAATTAGCCTTCACACAAGAGTTTTAGTTTATAGTTTTGTAGAAAAATATATGTACATACATGGTTTGTGAATTATGAACTCTATTTTCAACGTCTGTAGATTATTAAACTCTAAATACTGAAAAGAAATTACTGATTTTGAGGTCACAGTCGAGAGTGACATAACTGAGGAAGTGAAGCACGTTTCTGATAGATCATTTTAATAAATTAATGGAAATCTTTAAAAGTGATACCTTAAAACTTGGTTATGGAGACTGAGAGATCACACAAAATGGCTTTCTACTAAAAAATAACTTTCTACCATATAGGTAGAAATAAGACAAGTTTGATGTTATATGCTTAATGGTGGCTCAGAGTGAAATCCAGGAATCCTATTTGAGATGTACCTTAATTCTAATGAATGATGGTTCTCTTACAGAGAATAGGACCAAGTAAGCAGCAGTTCAGACAACAAAGTGTTAACTACCAAGCTACTGAGTCAACAGAGGCGCCTTATGCACAACAAGCATCAGTTGGTATTTATAGATACTTGTTATTTCCCATTGATTATTACACAGGCTGGATGGATCTGCTGTCGCTTCCAGCCACCACCAAGTAGATGATATAACGAGTTATCGGGCGCTATCGAGGCATCCACATGGGAGCTTCTATGCCAACAGAGACCCATCGATTCCGTCTACTATCATAATCAAGGGTAGATTACAAGCAACAAAGTATACTTACAGAGACATTAGCTGTTATCTCCAACTAGGCTAAAAGGAAGTTTCGATTTGTTTGCTACTCCATGAAATTTCCTCTTTGACTATAAACTTTTTGAGGTCAGGTCGACACACCTACCATCTTGTTTCACTTGGGGTACAACAATCAAAAGTAAAAATTACTTCACAGTAAATAGCACCACTAGAGGAGTATAGACACATTAACTGTATAAGAGTGTTATATAAAAATCAGTTCTTAACGGAATATGTTTGGTTTATTGAAAGTTCATCTTTGTTCCAACTTTTAGTCTCGAAAACCGGAAGTTGTGCTGAATATCCCTTTGAGAATGAAGATTGCTCTGTCTGACTAAAATTTCCGATAGAATGATATGTGAGACAATTTTTTGTTAGTTATTTGCAGACAAGTAACTTTATTGTAACCCTTAAACTGCTGTGGAAATGATAGCAGCCGGATAGTTATCTTCATAACAGTGTTTCGATCCTAGGGTAATTTTCATAAGCACTTCTGAAGGTTGGGGGGGTGTTTATGTATGACAGGCCGACTACCTTACCTTCAGCTAATGCATCGTCTATTGGTCACTGGCTCTGATGGCATCTGAAAAAGGTAGATGGGCAGTCACTTTATGATTATTACGGCGGCTTTAGTTGAAGAGAACCTGCTTTACGTCAACTTATTGTAATGGGATTCATAAGTTCATGCAACTTAGTGGTTTGAAACTTTGTCAGTAATGGCGAGTGAATGAAATCAGAGATATCAATGCTTTAATTTTCATGTTTGGACAGTTATGCAGAAAGTAACGATAAATTCCCAAATAT